CCCCCCACAAGACTGTATGTGTCAGTGTTGTCTTCCCTAATAAAACATTAAACGATAGATGGATTAAAAAAACAAAAAACAAAAAAAAAACTCAGTAAAGATTTCCTGTCACAGAGGCAGGCATATTTTCTCTAATGTTGGGTGTTTTTCCCATCTCAAATATGAATATGCTTAATGACAAGTTTATGGAACCAGTGAATCTTTTAAGGCCAATCTAATTATTCCCATCCCACACAGCATTTGTGATCTCAGCCAATAGCAGCACAGCATCAATTCCTGTCCTGTTGTGCTATATGCATGCAGGGGTCACCACGGGAAAAAGATCCACATTGTTTCACTTCCTGACACAACCTTTGCCAGCTAAGGACTGATGTTGTGCCAAGAAAAAGGTGATTTCCACTATTTAAACTCTTATAAATGACTGATAACCTGTCAAATAGGGTTATGTCAAGAATCATATAAAGTCATTTTAAACCACAAGCAACTCTTCTTACCAGAAGGTAAAAGCAGCAATCAGTTTTTGGCAAAGTGAGTTTTATATACTATTGCTTTATCCAGCTAAAAAGGCACATCAACATTAAAAATTTATCTTCTAAAGAGTAAAATAGCCAAGAGGGCAGCAGAAATTGCAACAAATATAATGTAATAGCTCTCAAGAGATATTTTAAGTGGCCAAAAAGCACTAGATTGAACATAATGTAATTACAATAAGGCTGGATCATAAAGATACCAGCAAAACATGTCATTTCTTTCCTTTCCATATATAACCCCTCCATAAATCCTGTTGACTACAGTCTTTTTTACCAACATAATAAAATACGTTACACATAAAAAAACACACTCTCTTTTTTGGCACAACACCAGCTGAAGGAGTATACACTAGCTTGTGACCCTCTGATGTTGGGCTTTTCTTTGTCTGTCTCTTCCTTGAATAGAACCAGCACACATCAAATTGTGTGACCCACCAAACCATGGAGCCACTCTAGAATTTGGGGTTGGCGAAAATTCCCACCAGGGTTCAGAGAGGCCTGGAGAATCCAATGATATGTTCCAGATATTTACATATGTAAAAGTATTCCTACCATAAAGGTATAAATATCCATGAACACACACATACACGCCTCCACTTAAAGAGCCCCCTTTTTGTATGCTCAAACGAAGCCACGCCCCTGGTGGCGGACCTATCTTATCGGGTCACTTTGAGTTGAGACTTTCTCTACGTCAGCAGGGGGCGTGGCCGCTCAGCTGTGAGGTCTGTCAGCACCGCACGGCACAGGGTGGTGGACACGACAAGAGGGACGCGCGTCGTTTATGTCAAGCAAATGTCAACTTTCCAGAGAGAAAATGAAGCAGCTAAGTCTCTGTTCAGGAGGCTTGAGGTTTTATTTTAATGTCATAAAGTAGCTGATAGATCCTGAGTAGTCAGTGACCCTCGTTTCCTCTGTATGTGCACCCTGTGCTGTGGTTTCATGGGTAAATGCTCACTGTGTGATTCCCCCCAGCGTCCCCCATTTAGTTGAATTGTATTTTACATCACATCCCTGAGCTTGAGCTTGATAAAGCGCAATTACACCTCACAGCGCAATAGCTGTCAGATGTACTGATCCAGCGTCAGTGAAACAAAGATTTACAACAGATTTTGTTTTTCACTCGTTTATTAAATGAACACTATTAAAAAAAAAAACAACCCATAATATGTATCTGTACTGTATATCCTGCCTCGGCTGGGTTGCCCACTTTGCTGCAGCATTCTTTGCATTGCTGTTTCTTAAGCTCTACCTGATCCAGTTAAAGTGTTGACGGCAAGAGATTAGGGACATGGGTTTTAAGAGGACTTCCTTCCCTTCAAACAGCTACAGATCAAGTCCTCTCCAAATACCACACTCATTTGAAGTTGAGGGGGAAAAAAGCTTTAGACAGAAAAGCAGGAATGTGAATGTTATAATAAACACGAGCAATGATTCCTGCACAAACAGAGTGTGCGGGTTCTTGGGGCTTCCTACAGATGTGTAATGTAACAGCAATTAAACCCATGTTAACGCCTGCATGTATTTCTCTGGACTTTGCTGCTGTTGACTTTCTGTGCCCGTAATAACCCACACCCCACCCTCCACCCTCCACCAGCCTCCCTCTGCACTCTGTGATTACACATTTATTTCTCCTGGTCCTAGTCTGCAGTTACTCCCATCGTGTCCGGGGAGTACAGTCACCATCGGGACAGAGCGGCGATGGCATCCCGGATCTCCTTCACTCAGGCCCGGCTGGAAGCGGAGCTGGAGCGCTACCGGGCCGAGTGCCAGTGGGACAAGATGCCGGCGATAGTTGAGCAGATGCAGGCTGCGCGGATCCACGAAGACGGTGAGTTGATGGTGGTATGCACCTGTGGTTTTTTTTAAGTTCAGGTGGCTGTTGTCACTTCCTGGCTGTTTTTTTTAACTGTTCATTGATCTGTACACTGTAAAAAAAAAAAAAAAAAAAAAGAAAGAAAGAGTTTTTTAAGTTTCGGGAAGCTGCTTCCAGGGGAGAAGCGGTAAGAAATTATCTTAAACAATTAAAAGTACTGAGGATTTGTCGCAATATCCACCAGTTTTAGTTCTAATGATTTGCACAAAACACTCACTGAGTGTTGATCAAGCATGGACATTTTTTGCAGTGTTTTTTGCGCACAGGTTGGACCTTGATCTCTCAACACTGGCTTCCTCTTGTTGAAGTTTTTCTAAGCAAATCTATTCAAGCGTTGATATTACAGGAATAAATGTGATGTGCAGAGAGGAGGGCAGTAGGATGGCCTAAATGAAAGTTTACAGTAGACACACTGAAAGGGAATATAAATAATTAAAGGAACTGAGTGGCCTTTTGCGTGCAAGATGAGCAATATTGCCTGCATGCAAAACAAGATTTTTCCAACAGGTTATTAGCTGCCCCCTCTACCCTTGAAATCACTTGACACTGCACACGTGCTCAAAGAAATGCAAACACGCATATGTTTCTGTGCCTCATAAAGCATTCATTTGGTAGCTCACTAATGCACCTGCCTCCAACCCTCACCTTAGCAGAGTAAATATGGGCTGAGGTCCTGGCTGATAGTGCAGACCAGCAGTTTCTCCTTGCTCGCACACGCGCTCATGTGTTAAATTAATGTGGTATTGCTGTGAGCATGCATGACTCACACTGTAGCTGATCTGTCAGGGACTGTGTGTGGAAAGGTTTTTCTTTTTAGATTAGAGATAGAGGAACTTTGTTTCAAGTAAAGCAATAAGCTGTTAAACTTCCAACCAACTGTAAAACTGTAAAAAAGCAGTAATAGGTGGTGTACTCTGCATTCAAGTTTCAAATGTTTTTCTTTGGGGAGTTTGCTGTAGGTGATGTTGTGAGGAAGATGTAACAGTCTGATTTCATCTCACTCAAACAGAAAGGACAGATGGGGGTAATGCACTACTTAAAAACAGCAGATATCTTTTAGGATAGCTACTTGGATAAGGTATGTAAGGCAGACGAAGATTTGGAGCTTTTAGTAAAATACGGGAAGTACAGTATATTCTACTGTGTAATAAATGTATTTATTTATTCATTTTTATTCGTGAATTTAAAAAAAATTATGTGACCATTCATTTTATTCCCCACAGGTATCACACGTATCCTTAAAGCTACTTTTTGTAAAAACCCTTTATAAATGTAATAAAAGCTTTCACCACAAGGTGTCTCCATTTTACCAGAAAGTTGTAGTGTAGCATTATATTCATCTGTGTACATCTGTAATTATTTCATATTAGAGCATTGAAATGTTGCTTCTAACTAATCAAATGTTTCAATCTCAATTTAAAAATGTCAATTTCTTTCTTAATCAAAAAAAATCTGTGTTCTTCAGCTACTAAAACAGACCTCATAGTAACACAGTGTTTGCAGAAATGTTGAGCTAGCACTAGCTTGAACAATGCTGGAATGAGTCATGTTAGACTCAGGGCAGACTGGACATTTTACTGACTTGACGCAAAATCTTGTAGTTCAGAGTGGTATTATGCAAGAGTAAAGCCATCTTTATTTCTTTTTCAATTAATATTACTGCAACACATGTCTTGGACAGCATAGCCGTTTTCTCTTAACATCGCATTGACTGGTTTAGTTAATTACAGAAGGTTTTAAAATGTTTTCAGTCAGCATTTTTTACAACGTACCTTTTTGCTTCTCAACAAAGGCACTGCAGCCAGTGCATTTCTTCCCTTGTAACATGTCTCTATGTCATGTGTGTATATTGTGCAGAAGATATCCAGTAGTTTTGGTGAATGGTCTTTAAAACCAGCAATCTCATTTTGTGGCCACATGGGGGCAGCAGAAACAAAACATTTGGCAGGTGGGCGTGGCTACCTTTGGACATGGTCATGGACGTGAGGCTTCTGAACCATTACAGTTTTGGTTTAAAAATTCTGGGTGTGATGAGGAAAGGGATGTTGGATGTTATAAACTAAGCTGGAAAGTGTGTACTCAGGTCAAATTAGAAAGCTGTTTACCCACAGAGGTTTAGCTTAGAGGAACACAAGTTGTTTTACAAAACAGGTGGCCTTCAGACATACCAGAGTGGAAGGCACTTCTGCACAGCTAACATCTTAGCAAACATTTAGAGTGGTGTTTCTGTCCACGTTAATGTTAGTGCAGTGCGTGCTGTCTGTTTAGTCCATTTTGGTCTGCACTGACTTCTAAAGGGGTTATTTGGCTACTAAGCAACCAAATGCTCTACTACTTTAACTGACTAGCTAGCTAGTTGCTATACTTTATCTGCCTTAAATCACTCTTAGCATATTATTAGCATATCTGGTTACAGGGCTAACCATTAGCTAACCAGTAGTGTTTGAAAATTTGCAACTACCTCCACTTAATGTTAACATTAACTAACTGGCTAGCTAGTTGCTGTACTTTATCTCCCTGCACACCCCGAGTTTATAATCTTCATATATTAGCATATCTAGCTACAGGGCTAACCTTTAGCTAACCAGTAGTGTTTGATAATTTGCAACTACCTCCACTTAAT